GAACCCTGACTCATCCCCTCCCTGCGAACCCTGTGGGGGGATGTTCCATTGTCTACAGATGGTCTCTGTACAACGCCCCCCCCCCCACTCTCACCAGTGCATAGTGCATTTTGTTGGTTGTGAATCTTCTAACATCCATTGCCCAGTCCCGATGACACTTCATAATCGCACCAGCAGGTGCTTCTTCCATGTGGGTTTGTTGCCTCTCTGTTGGATGGCTGCTTGTTTAACTTCAAGCCTTTAAGACGCCACATGCTGTATCTTTTAATAGCTGGGCACCATCCTCAAGACAGTACATTTTAACCTAACTATATCTTCCATAGTAAATTTGACAATGCTCTGTTCACTATTCTCATCCCTCTACTATGGTCAGAGAGGATTCACAAGAGGCGTATTCCACGTGTGATCCCTGCAAATGGATGTTGGGTTTCCACTGTCATCAATAGCCTTCTGAAAATCAGGTGTTCACAGTTAAAGTGCTGCATCCATTCCTTCCTTTAGATTTGGATTATATGTTTTTAGAATCCTTCGCTCACATATGTTGGTGTGCCTCTTGTATGTAGACTTGTTGACACCTCATTTAGAGGGCTGCTTGTTTGAAGACAAGCATTGAAGACCCAAGCCATCCTAACCAACTAGAGCAAGGGCTTGATATCATACTTATTTTGTTATCTTTTCTCGTAGTTCCTTTAATGTGACTTTTAAAAAACTTTTACTGGGGGCTCTTACAACAATCTGTACATCCAATGTGTCTAGCACTTTTGTTCATATGTTGTCATCACCATTTTCAAAACATTTTCTATTTGATCCCTTGGTATCAAATTTCTCATTTCTTGCTCCTTCCTCCACTCATGAACTTTTGATAAATTATAATTTTCATATCTTACACCATTTGCTGTCTCCTTTCACCCATGTTTCTGTTGTTCATCCTCCTTGGGGGAGGGCTATACGTCAACCATTGCAATCTGTTTCCGCTTTCTCCCCCCACTGTCACTCTACCCTCATAGTATCACTACTCCCATCTCCTGGATTCTCTGTGTCCAGGGCTCTATCTGTACCAGTGTACATGTTTTGGTCTAGCCAGATTTGGAAGGTAGAACTGGAGTAATGATGGTGGGGGGTGAGGAAGCATTAAAGAACTAGAGCAGTGGCTCTCAACCTTCCTACTGTCATGACCCTTTAATACAGTTCCTAATGTGGTGACACAACAAGCATAAAATTATTTTCATTGCTAATGGGACACAGAGGTGACTGGGCAACCAACAGCACCTGTCATGCTGTCCCCTTACTGGAGCAGACTGCGACAGAGGACATTTCTGGGGTCACATGTGGGGAAGCAGTGTGGTCTGAACCCCCCAAATGGAGCCAATCAAGAAGGGAGCATACCTGGATAAACAATCTGGAGGAGAAAACAACGGGACTGATGGTTCCGGGGAGACCTGGGAGGGGTAGTGAGGAAAAGGGGGTGGTGGTAACAAACTCAGGGACATGGGAATGACAAGTGATCCAAAATCAATGGCAAGGAGGGTATAGGAGGCCTGGTTGCGCTTGAGCAAGGGTAATGTGGGACAAGAGGAAAGTAAAAGGAAATAGAGGAAAGAACTAGGAGGTAAAGGGCATTTGAGGGGGGTTTAGATGCAGGTATGGACACGTAAATATATTTATTTATGATGGGGAAATAGATCTATGTGCATATTATTTATAGGTTTAGTATTAAGGTAGCAGATGGACACTGGGCCTCCACTCAAGTACTCCCTCAATGCAAGAACACTTTGTTCGATTAAACTGGCATTCCATGATGCTCACCTTCCCGACAAAATTTCTGAAGACAAATGGGTGCATAAGCAAATGTGAAGAAAGCTGATCACGAGGTGTCAAAGGTTTCAGGCATCAAAGGAAAAAAATCATATCGTTGTGTGCTCACCTTCCCAATACGATCACTGAGGGCAGATGGGTGCATGGGCAAATGTGAAGAAAGCTGATGGTGCCAGGCTATCAAAGGATATAGCGTCTGGGGTCTTAAAGGCTTGAAGGTAAATAAGCAGCCATCTAGCTCAGAAGCAACAAAGCCCACATGGAAGAAGCACACCAGCCTGTGCGATCACAAGGTGTTGAAGGGATCAGGTATCAGGCATCAAAGAACAAAAAATTCTTATTATAAATGAGGAGGAGTGCAGATTGGGGACCCAAAGCCCATCTGTGGGCAACTGGACATCCCCTTACAGAAGGGTCACAGGGAGGAGACGAGTCAGTCAAGGTGCAGTGTAGCAATGATGAAACATACAACTTTCCTCTAGTTCTTAAGTGCTTCCCCCTCCCACCCACCCCCACTATCAAGATCCCAATTCTACCTTACAAATCAGGCTAGACCAGAGGATGTACACTGGTGCAGAGAGGATCTGGAAAACACAGGGACTCCAGGACAGAAGAACCCCCTTGGGACCAATGGAGGGAAGATCGGGTGGAAAGGGGGAGCTGATTATAAGGATTTACATATAACCTCCTCCCTTGGGGGACGGAAAACAGAAAAGTGGGTGAAGAGAGATGGTGGATAGTGTAAGACATGACAAAATAATACTCATTTATAAATTATCAAGGATTCGTGAGGGAGGGGGGAGCAGGGAGGGAGGGATAAAAATGAGGAGCTGATGCCAAGGGCTCAAATGTTGTGAAAATGATGATGGCAACAAAGTACAAATGTGCTTGACACCATGGACGTTTGAATGGATTGTGATAAGTGTTACACAAGCCCCCAATAAAATGATTAAAAACAAAAAGTTTTGAGATGCACGGAAGAGTTTGGAAAGATGTACATAACCAGACTTCGTAAGGGCTTTTTTTCCCCAGATAGAAAAATCAGCCTTAGGTAAATGGCCAAGCTTTGTAATACATACGATTGAGAAACTTAACGTATACATTTAAGAGTATAATTTCTTTAAACCAATTTCATAGAGAAGTGATAAACTAGAAAATTCTACTCCTAGAAATTCTCAAAACAAAAATAAACATCTTTATATGTATATATATTTGCTAATCAGTTTTATATTACTAAAATGTATTAAACTTGATATCCAATAGTAGACATTTTGAATGATATATTTTTATATTTTATATATATATATTTGTGTATATACATAGTCATTAAAATGATTTTCATTAAAATGGAAGATTCTCAATAAATCACTAAGACAGGCTATTAAACAGCTTAAGAGATTGATCAGTGTTAAAAGCTATTGATTTGAATATTAAGATTACAGGTAATTTTTCTCCTTTTTCAATCTCTTCCCACTTTATATTTACTGAAGCCTCTCTAAACTTCCACAATTATTATGTAACTAAAATCAGAGCTTGGACATGATGCTGCTAACTCTGGCACTGGTACAGAAGCAGGAAATACTTCTATGAATATTTGTTGAAATCACCATTTCTCAAGAACATTAAAAAGATGTTGGAGACACTTTGTTTAACAAAAGAATTTATTAGAAAATATCACACACTACATATTTGAGTCTGGTTTCAGTAGACAGCACTCCATCCTCCTACCACAAACAATGGCTCATGGACCCAGGGCAACCACTATGCTGCTAAAGCTACAACTTTGGGATGGAACATTGAAGCAGTGCACACTGCAGCCATAGAGGGAAAATAAAGGAGTTTAAGTCTGGGCAGGGGGGCAGAAAAAAAAAAAAATCACAAAAGTTTTGGGATATTGATATAATGGCTAACTACTTTTAGCCTGAAAAGTCTAGGCATCTCTATTGCTGAAAACACTAGTCAATGTGACCAGCAGGCTAAAGGGACCAGGACTTCAAAAGTCAAGTTAATACTGACTTTCTGTAAATTACATTCCTTTGAAATGCCACAAAAAGTTTGTACACATGCAAAACTAATGTGAATTTAAAAGGGGAGGGATATTAAAGCACTGTGTTAACAAAGCATGCATTGTCAGATATTCTGAAATACTTGAAAGTTTAATCCTTTCAAGACCAAATTATTTTCTGCATTTATCATTGAAACGATGTGTTTTTGTTAATAGAAATCATTAAAATAAGAGGGGAAAACTTTCAAATTTTCTTTTAAATATGGTTTTTTGATACAATTAAACTCAAAACTTACTGCTAGTGAGTAAACCGTGACTCTTGGCAATCCTACAGGAAAAGATAGAATTGACCCTCTGGGTTTCTGAGACTGCTGTTGGTTTCAAACAGCTGACCTTATGGTTATCAGCCACAATTAACCCAAGTGGGGCACATATGCCTCAAGGGGTCTCTGATGCTAGGTTTGGAGGGATGAGGCCCATTTATTAATATTCAGTTATGCAGGGCCCCAGCAGATGGCAGCACACTAAATGTGTAGACTCACTCTGTATTATGTGGGCTATGAAAGGGTTAAAAAAAATCGTATTGCTTGAATTCTAATCCAGCTACATTCTTAGTTATCCATTTTAAATGCAGCCTAATTCGTGTCCCAACCAGATATGGAACATATTTTCAAGAAAGGTAGAAAGAATTCCAGGGGCTGCTACCAAAGATAAGACTGTGAATTCTTGACACCACTGAGTTTTTCTTCAAAAAAATTTTAATTTGTTTGCAAAAGCTCAACAATATAAATCAAAATTAAAAATATCACCCAATTCCCAAATGTCATTGAAAGAAAATACAGGAAAAGTATGCATTGTGGGATTAATCAATTTAGGCACAGCAATTTGCTATAAAATTTCAAAGTGTAGATCGGCCTTAACTCAAGAGATGGAACGTTCATATGTTGTTTCTAGAATTCCAAACGGAAACAACTCAAGTGGTATGGTTTGGTATCTAAAACACTGCTTTAATATTTTATTAGAAGAAAAATACTTCCATATTTTCTACCCATCATAACCAAAACACAAACTTCAATAAAAAAACTATAAAAACCAGTAGAATACACCATATTACAATTGCTCACAAGTGTAGAATGAAGATCAAAAACTGTTGGGAAATATTTCTAACATTTAAGGATTACACTTACAGCCTAAACAAAGATCATGGTTGAGAACAATCATTAGTGGGGCCAGCAGTTCAAACTATTTTGCCTATCAAAGCTAGCACCAGGAAAGTTAGTATGCACACAGAACTGAGAAACCGTTTACCCTTAACTTCACAACAGTGCAGACCTAACAGGAATGCTGTGCTCATGAATTTATCCAGTAAAGGGGCCACTCGGTCTCAGAGGCAGACCTGGCTTCGAGCCATTACCATCAGATCTGAACAGCTTTCTAGTGACTTCGTTTCTACTCAGTATTGCTACACTGGAATGAAAGGTGGTTTGCCAGAGCATCCACTTTTATTCTTATAAGATGGCAATTAAAACAATCTCTCTAAAATGTTAATCTTACCTTTGATAAAAATTAGAATATCCAAACACTCACAAAAAAAAATCAAAATACTTAGCCCCTGGAAGCCTAACAAAAACTCTGATTTAATTCCTCTCCCTTTCCAAACACAACGTTTAAAACGTCTAGAATTTTGCAACCGGGTTAATGGCGGCCGCATGGTCGTCAAGTCAACACTGTAATCACTGTACAGCGTTGAGGGTTTTTCAAGTGGGAAAAGTGTCACTCATGATTAGAACGATAAGGAGCTCCGTGAAGCCCAGTGCAGTGAGTCTCCTCTTTCTGCCAGAAAGTCTCAAGGGAGGAAGGGTGCTCTCTGCTTCCCAGCAATTCGAATGCTCGCTGGCACTAACTAGCATGCCTGATGGGCAAAAGGAAGGGAGTGTAAAAAACCCATGATTTTTACAAAGTCAACACTTTTTTCAAACCAGCCTTTTAAATTCACCAGAACTTTAGACTGCTACAATTCTAATTTAGCAAATCAAGTGCTTCATCTCAATTATGGGATGGGCTGGGGAGTCACAAAGAGAAACAGGCAGTGCGACCTCTATCTGATGATACAAGCAGTGAAGTGCGTCCCAAAGTTCTGAACACGAACTTACACATGTGATTAAGGTTTTCTACCTAGGAACTTTATTCAGATGGGTGCTTCTTTAAAAATACACATTAGGAACCCTGCAAATGGCATGTTCTGTTAATAGTAGAAATATTTTTTTCATGGTAATACATTATTTAACTTTCTATAATTAGTGGGGAAAAATTCATAAAGATTATACTTTTTTTAGCCTGACAGAATAAATGTTTAATATATATATATATATATATATATATCTTTCAAAACCAGTGCACTTAGGAGTTTCTAATTTGTGCACTTTATTGATGCGATTGAAAAGCTATACATCTTGCAGTACCCACACCATAGCACAGTCATAGTAAAAATGCACATTTCCTTACATCTTTACTTTCCCTTGTATTTACTTGGCAGGGGGAGGGGGGAGATATATAGAAGTTGCAGTGCAGAACTATATTTATTTAGAACAAAACATTATATCCTACATTAAAAAAAATAATTTTATCAAAACCAGATTTCCATCACAGTTGTCTATGATTTTCAATAAATGGTACATGTTGGAATTGCACTTGGCAGGCATCATGACCGGGTCCTCCCAGCATGCTGCTCTCAGCCGGCGGCTTTGTCAGTGGGCCCAGGTTCCTCCAGGCTTTTCTTCTGGCTCCCCTTCCGTGAGTACTTGTACTTGTCGACATAGGCTTTCACCAGATTGGCCACTTTAGTAGCATTAACTTCTCCACTCTTACTGTGACAAACCTAAGAAAGAACGGGGTGCGTATGTGAAACGTGGATATCAAACTCAGACCTCAAAGGCAGAGCGGACCACTGTGAAAAATAACTCAGAGATGACCACATTTACTTTCACGGCAAGGTTTCATACCTCATATACACTTTTTAAAAGATCCAAGAAGCGAGAAAGAATTCAGAGGATTGACCATTTTGGTGCGTGTAAGTATTTTAAAATTACAATAGAGGTGATGTAGAACAGTATGTGTGCAGTACCACCGATGCTGTATGACTCACCTTATCCACTGCTTTCCGGACAATCTCCTTATACTCTTCCTTGGTGATATCTTTATTTTGGTAAAATGGTTTAATGGCCAACTTTACCTCCTGGGCTGCCTTTTCTTGAATTTGCAATTTCTGATCAAAGAAAAAATATATATAATTCTTTAATTATGATTAGATAATTATATTAAAAAAATACATTTACTTTATTGCAAGAAACTCTTCAAACATTAGTGACAAACACAAGATTGCTATTTACTAATAAACAGAAGTAAAATGTCAAAAAAATATTTACGAAATATTACCCAGCACTCACTGGGGCATCAACATATTTAGATGAAACCTTTCAAATATAGTATCACAATTTAAGACTATCAACAATAAATTTCCTTCACCACTCACAAAATAGAAAGCTGGTATTTTAAAATCGTGTTTTCATCACATAGAGAATTATGTAAGTTGCTTTCAACCTTGAACTTGCCTTGTCTGTCTTCGAGCTATCTGCGCTGGCTTCCACTGTAACACTTACTTTGCTTTCTGCCAGTTTGACAGCAGCATTAGCGGCTGTGCTGTGACTTGAGGATGAAGTATTACCAGAACTTGGTCCCTGAACTGTTCCCATACTTCCTGGGGCTGCTGTCGGAGCAGGCAAGACTGGTGCATTCATGTTATTACTTACATGAGAAGCACTAGGAATACCCTGTTTTAAAGAGTTACCATTCAGTTAATGAATTAATAGTACTTAATTTAAGTCTTATAGGCATGCATTAAAAACACATTTTAAACATACAAAGTAAAAAAAATTACTATCTTAGAACTTAAGAGAAATGCACATATCAGGTTATTTACATCAAAAAGGCCTTTTGACATGTACATATGTAAATATATTTATATAGGATGATGAGGAAATAGATCTACATGCATATATTTATAGGTTTAGTTTTAAGGTCGCAGATGGACATTGGACCTCCACTCAAGTACTTACTCAATGCAAGAACACTTTGTTCTATTAAATTGGCATTCCATGATGCATACCTTCCCGATATGATCGCTGAAGACAAATGTGTGCATAAGCAAATGTGGTGAAGAAAGGCTGATGGTGCCCAGCTATCAAAAGAGATAGCATCTGGGGTCTTAAAGGCTTGCAGGTAAACAAGCAGCCATCTAGCTCCAGAAGCAACAAAGCCCACATGGAAGCAGCACACTAGCCTGGGTGACCACGAGGGTAGAAGGGACCAGGTAGCAGGCATCAAAGAACAAAAAAATCGTATCATTATAAATGAGGGGGAGTGCAGAGTGGAGACCCAAAGCCCGTCTGTAGGTACCTGGACATCCCCTTACAGAAGGGTCACAGGGAGGAGATGAGCCAGTCAGAGTGCAGTGTAGCAATGATGAAACATACAACTTTCCTCTAGTTTTTAAATGCTTCCCCCACTATCATGATCTCAATTCTACTTTACAAATCAGGCTATACCAGAGGATGTACATTGGTACAGATAGGAACTGGAAACACAGGGAATCCAGAGCGGATGATCCCTTCAGGACCAGTGGTGAGAGTGGAGATACAGGGTAGAGGGAGGGTGGGTTAGAAAAGGGGAACCAATTACATGGATCTACATATAAACTGCTCCCTGGGGGATGGACAACAGAAAAGTGGGTGAAGGGAGATGTCAGACAGTGTAAGATATAATTTATAAATTATCAAGGGTTCATGAGGGAGAGGCGAGAGGGGAGCGGGGAGGGAGGGGGAAAAATGAGGAGCTGATATCAAGGGCTCAAGTAGAAAGCAAAATGTTTTGAGAATAATGATGGCAACAAATGTTCTTGACACAATGTGTATGGATTATGATAAGAGTAAGAGCCCCCAATAAAATGATTTTTTAAAAATACCTTTTGAAGAAAAATGAGTCATGTTATTAAATAGAGCCCTATTCAAATATGTCAAAATGACTTTGAAATTATACAATAAATGTGTTTTGTAAAGCTCTGATGGCAACACTACAAAAAGTAAATAGAAATTTTAAAACTGTATTCTGCCAGGTTCTTTTAAAATATAAATTAAAATGGGTGTCCCTATTTTAAAGATGGGAAAAATGAGGCAGTTAGTCACTTGCTGTATGTAAATTAGGAGAAAAAGATGTAAAATCTCCAAATTCTGAATTCACTTTTCCAGTTCTTTCTATTCTATCTTGCTCAGGATTCTAAGATTTCTGAATGTAGCTATAAAGCAAAGAAGTACAGGTGGCAGAGTGAGCTGACTGTAAGTCCAGTGGTTCCCACCCACCAGCCCTTCTGAGGAACAAAGATGACCCAGGCAGCTTCCCTGAAGATTCCCAGTACCAGAAATGCTATGGAGAGTTCTCCTCTCTCCTACAGTGTAGCTGGGAGTCAGGATGACTGGAAGGTAAAAAACATCATCACGATGTTTGTGACTAGCCAAAGTTTGTAAATGCTTTTTAGGCACTTTCCTTTTTGGCATGATAAACTCATGAAAATGAAACAGAAAAAAAATAGATAATGAATCGCTTTAACTAACATTTATCTGAACAATACAAGTTTGATCACTAGTTTAATATTTATCATAACTATTTTAGCATTAGGCCCCAATAAAAACAGCTATGTTTTAAAAGTACCCACCACAATTCTGATTTGGCTCATAATTTGGTGTTGGATAAGTGTCAGGCTGCTAACTATAGGTGAGAAAGGTGAGACAATCCGGCCTTGTGAAGGTTTTCAACTTCAGAAACCTGACAGAGGCTAGCTACAAAGCAGAACTGACTCGGTGACAGTGGGGAATCTAATAAGCATGTCTGATATAGATATTAAGTAATACCCAATATAGAAGACATAAGTGTTTAAGTATTTCATGGGGTGTGTTTGCACACATGCATGGCCAGAGGTGGAGAAATGATTAAGAACAATGAATAAAAGGAAGGCTTAGGAAGGTTTATCATAAACGCAATGAAAGAAACAATTGTTTTGGATGCCAAGAAACCGAATAGCTATATTTTTAAAACATTGGTTAAATTTTGGTTGCTAAACACATACCTGCAATTGCTTTCCATCTGGTTGTGAAGCTATATAGTTGACTTGTTGGGATGGTGGGGGAGGAGGTGGTGGTGGTGGTGGTCCCTGAGATACACTGGCAGGAGCAGCTACCTGCATGACAGGCACTCCTGTGTGGAGATGCAGAGGTAGCGGGGGGTGCATGTTAAATGGATTGCGCTGGATGTTCATCAGAGGCGCGTGAACACCCACTGGATATGGGAAGATATTCATAGGCTGGTGTTGTGCATTCATTTGTTGCTGCATTACATTCACTTGTGGTTGTATCATATTTATAGGTAGTTGAGAACCATCACCTTGTTGGTTTGTTTGGTCTTTTAAGTTAGAATCTATCAAAAGAAAAAAAAGGCTTGTAAAAAAAAGAGGTTAAAAATCTCTTTAGAGAAGATAAGAACTACTGGTTATAGAATTAAGCATAGATGAACAGACATGGTATACCCAAACCAATCTCTATTACTTAGTTTAACGCTACCATTTCTAAATAACAGAGGTTGATTTTCTAACTAAAAGGAAATGAAATGTTCAAATAAAAGTATTTTTAACAATAGCTAGTTTCACATAACATTTATCATTGCCAACAAACAATCAGTAGCTCAAAAAACTCATTGATTACAAAATTAATCATATAAAATTTAATTTAGGTTACTAAATTAGATGTTAATAAGATTTTAAATATTTCAAGTTTTTTTCAATGTTACTAAACACAAAATCAAGAGGAAACATTTTTATTATTAGAAGAGTGATTTATTTGTAGAAAAATGATCGAAAAAAATTTCTCAAGTGCACACATTTGAAATAAATGCAATAAAGGTTAAATCCTGCATAGGAACATCCCAAACTCTGCTCATAAAACAAATAATACTTAAAATATAGACATTATAAATTGGACTCATTTCAAACCCCACAGATAGGACATTCAGCTTATCATCGCTCTCTCCTGAGATAAAACGGCATCAGTAAACGGAGAGTTACCCTGTTCCGCCGTTGCTTCCTCCTCCTGTCTCATCCATCCAGACTGCGGCCCTGAAGAAGCCCTTCCTCTCCGGGAGTAATAGTTCTGAACATCTGCTGGGAGAGTCTTTCTCACGGCCCAGCTAGAAGCAGACGTCCATCCTGAACGATCTGCTGGTGTATCAAATGAGAATTCGTGCTCATTTTTCCGTTTATAGGGCTGTTGCTCTGCAAACTTGAAGGGCTCATTCCCTGAACTATTTGAATTCCCTGAAAGGGGTTTTCGGTTTTGCCACCGGTTTTCACTCTGATCCGTGTAGGCAAAACCACCTCTGTAAGTGCCTCTGCCCCTGTTACCTCTACCACGATTAGACATCCAACTGGAACCTAAATTTTTATTCCAAGAATTCCCTGAATTTTCATTTCTGTTTTCTTCCCAGTGAGTGTCTTTTACCTTTTCTGGATTTCTGGTCCTTGGATCGGGCCCTGAATTTATTTTTTCTGTTACCCAATTAGGACAGTCATTTCTGCGTTTGTCAGAATTTAGATCATCAGCATCTGGACTGATGTCATTTTTCTCTTTCCTTGTATTTTCATTCTGTTTCTCCGAGTCACTCTTTCTGTAGCGATCATTTCCTCGTGGGCATCTCCAGCCGTCATTTGTCCATCTTTCCTTCCACCGAGGGGAGTAATTGTCTCTGTCGTTTCTACCGAACGATGAGCTCTTGCTTTTTGTCCTGGATCTTGATGGCGACCTGGAACGAGATCTGGACCTCGACCACCTTCTGGCTCTTCTTTCTCTGTCTCGATCTCTCCTCTGTCCCTCTCGATCACTTTCTCTTTCTCTGCTCCGGGACCTGGACTTTTCTCTTGGCGAGCTCTCTTTCACTCTGGATTGAGATCTTCTGTTCTCCCCAGACATGTCTCTTTTGGGGGAGACTGAGTCAGATTGTTTGCCTTCCTTACTACTCTCTTTCTTGGGAGACCGAGAGGGAGAACGCCTCCTTTCCCTCGCACTATCCTTTTTGGGGGACTGGGAACGAGATTTCCTTCGTCCTCGTGCTGGTTCTTTCTTAGGAGATGGAGACTGAGACCTTCTGCTTTCTTTTCCAGTTTGTTTCTTAGGGGAGGGAGACTGAGAACGCTTCTTTTCTCGCGTCGGTTCAGTGGCAGGAGACCAGGTGGTCGATGGGGAGTGAAATCGAGACCTTCGAGAGCGGGGCTTCTTGCCCTTGTCTGCTGTCTCTGCTGGGCCTTCAGAAGGTTGACAGACAGTTTCCACTTTTCCACTTGCAGGATCAGAAGGTGGTGTATTATTTTCAGAACTATGCTCCACAGACTTTGCAGTCAATTGTTTTGCATCAGCATTAACGGCAGCCCCCACCGCAGCTTCACTCTGGTCACTACAGAATGAGTCACACTCCATCGGAATCGTTTCGTTATTGTCCTCACTAAAATGCTTCTGGATCTCTTCAGAGTGTGTGTTAGGCAAATCTTCAGATGTGGGATGTTCATCCGGAGATTCAGTCTTCTCTTCTAAACAATGGCCTAATTTCGTATTGTCAAAATCATTTTTTAATAAATTATTTTCAGATTCTTGAGTACTATTGAAATTTTCATTCCCTAGACCATCACACTTTGCAATCAATTTTGAATGTTCAGTTTCAACGTGCTGAGTCAACTGAACCTCCGAGCTATCAGATTTGTTTCTTGTTTGTATACTTTCACCATCAGGAGAGTTTAACTTAGGACTCTCTAAAAGCTCTTCTATTTCTACTGTAGCATCTTTATGATCAACAATTTCCATAACGGGACTCTCATTTTTTTCTTCCTTAACCACTGATTCTACATTCTTCAGGACCTCACCTACAGGACTAGATACAGGTTGGTGTACTTCAATTTCGAATCCTGAAATTGTATGGAAATCATTTGCAGGATGATCTGTGCATTTATCTGTTTTTACCTCTAATTCTAAAGGTTCAGATACCTGGTCTTGATTTGCCATCAGATCACCTCCTCTTTCACCTGTATCTTTAGAAATGTCACTTTCTACACACATGACATCATTTTCTATACCTGTAATTTCAATTTTTTTACTTGTTCCCTCCTTAAGTAACACAGGAGGATCTTGGGAATAAGACTCGCAATCGGACGTCTTCGCTGGTTCCTCTGGATCAGGATCTTGGGAATAAGACTCAGAATAGGAGGCCCTGATTGTTTCCTCTGGATCAGGATCTTGGGAATAAGACTCAGAATAGGAGGCCCTGATTGTTTCCTCTGGATCAGGATCTTGGGCGTAAGAGTTAGAATCTAAAGCCTTTGCCGTTTCCTCTGTATCAGGGTTCTCAATGTGTTCTTCCTGTGCATCAATATGCTCACTGCAACTTCTCAAGTCATTAGCAGACTTGTTTTCTTCCCCTGCCTGCACAACGCAAGTGTTACTACGTCCTATGTCTGACTGGGGCTCTTTCTGTAACACAGGTGGTGGGTCGGATTCTGCTGTTTCTTCGTCTGCTGACTCACTGGAAGATGATTTCTCAGGGGGAGGTACAGAGCTCCGTAATTTCTTTTTCAGTAAAGGTGGTTTTCGCCCTCTTCTTACAGATTTTCGTTTTGGAGCCTGTCTTGTTTGTTTTTCTGACTCAGCTGATGAGGAGACACTTACAGAAGCATTATTGCTATCTGGGGCATCACACCCAGAAGTAGCTGACACTGGAGACCTCTGAGCCTGACTGACTGTTTCGGATCTCATGTTACGTGCAGATCTCCTTGTGGGAGTTGTTGCGGCAGGTTTTCGTCTTGATCCTCTGGTATTTGATGTGCCAGAAGTTTGCTTCTTCTCTTCTCCTTCTTGAGTATGTGCTAATGCATATCCCTTGCAAGAAGTACCTAGTAATATTTTAAAAAAATAAACATGTTTCAATATATGAAAAGTTTGGCTTCAGCTCATTTCAATATGCAAAATAAATGTTTATAGCAAATAAATTAGCAAACTACACAAACCACATAGGTACTAACATTTAAGTAACGAAGTGTTTATCAACTACTTTTAATGCTACTGAGATGAGTCATCATCATGTGTGGATTCATGAGGACATTGTACAGACAGAGAGAAAACGCCTTTGCTCTGGTCGTTCCCACTTGCTTTGTGAGGTGGTACTTTTTAGAAGCAAACAGCAAGGGAAAACTGACAAGTCATCCGCAAATATATAAAGACTCAAACTGTTTATTAGTAAGTAATTAACACGATGCTGTTTTTAAAAATTCTATCGTTTGGATGCTGAAGGCCTAATAGAAAGGAGACTTCTAATCAGCAGGTTCTTTAAAATCTTAAAGTTGTAATTTTTTAAAGTAAAAGAGATTTTCTACTTGAAAGTCAAATCACTTTAAATGTTTATAAAAATGGCTGTGACAGATTTTACCATAGTTTTCAGCTTTTAACCTGAGTTTGAAATAACAATTTGAAAATGATTTCATAAACATTACCAAAATTTTCTAAAGCTATGGTACTTGTTGGAAAAACAGTTCTTGGCAACACAGAAGAGCCGAGAGGAAGAATTTCGGTTTCAATATTCCAAGGTATAAAATCATTTCTGAAAATTCAAAACAAAGACATTTTTGTTTAACTGATTTTTAAAAAATCTGCAATAAAGAATATTAAATCTCAAAATTAAACTAGCACTTAAAACTGTTTTGGGAAAATGACAAATTCTAGAATCTCTAGATTATTCACTGTGCAAAGATGGATACCAATCAGCTACAAAGGGAAAAAAAAAGCATGCTTTACTCTTAAATTAACGGCAAAGGGAGATAAGGGACAATATAAAATATATGTTTCTTTAAAAAATGACTTCCGTAATTTAGTGTTATATTTTATGGCAAGGATATTTTAAAATTTTTATTATTTTAGGCAATCAATCTATAATTACACTTTGAGGCATAGTTCATATATAAAAAAAATTACACAGAGCACAGTTTCATGGCTTTTGACCAATGTATATATCTGTATAACCATCACCACCATAATCAAGAAATAAAACCTTCGTACCACCCCAGAAAAAGCTCACCATACTCCCTTTGCAGTCTCGCTCCTCCCAATCCAGGGAACCAATGACTAGTTTCTATTGCTGTATTACTTTTAAAGTCCCCTGATCTAAAAACAACAGCTTCTTCAAAATTGCTATTATCTCTGTCAAATCTGCTAAGCTCTCTAAAGGTGTTTATTAACCAAACCCAAGCAACTTTCAGTTTCTCCTTTCTCTACTGTACTAATTAAGAGTTTCTGGGAAGCACAAATAGCGAGGTGGTTGGATACTAGCCAAAAGGTGGTTTAGCAGTTTGAAACCACCCAGAGGTTCCCCAGAAGTCAGGCCTCCCAATACACTTCTGGTAAGGTACATAAACACTAGGGAGAGCGTGGCTCTACTGATACACTTGGGGATGCCAGAAGTCAAAATCAATTAATAGTGTTATTATTAATTTTATTACTAATACACCACCTCTTCATCTATCAACATGGTTAGGTTTCAAAGACCAAGACATTAAGTAAAAATAGGTATTATGCAAAAATGGAGGATATCAGATTGAAAAATGAAGAGTGACCTCCATTACATAACTGCCAAATTGGCACATAACTTTAACCATCACAGCCAACGTTACTCTTGCTTCACACCTCAGTATTGATAACCGCCAGGTATATGTTGTTAAGATGTAATAAGTTTCACCATTATGAGGTTCTCCTTTTGAAGTGAGTTACACAGCAAAACAAAAAATTATTAACTTTCCAAGGGGGTCTTTTACATAGCAATTAATTTAAAATGCTGACTTTTAATTTGAAAGACAACTTGTACAGAGCTTCCTTAGGAACATATCTATTGAATAGTATATTCCTATGATACTCCTATGATAGATACTAATTATGAATCCCTATATTCATTTTAGCAAATAAATACTTCAGTAAACAACAACAACAAAAAAAATGTTACCTTCCAATTCCAGGTAATGTATCACGAAACCACGACATTTCCAGTTCCTGTCTTTTCTGCCTAATCACTGCACTGATTTCATTGACTTCTAAAAACTCTGTACTAAAAGATAAATTTTAGACCTTCATCAGAATTAAAAAAAAAAAAAGTTCTGAAAAACAATTCGATTATATAAAAAAACATAGCTGAGGTTTTCATGTGCAGCATTGTGAATATTACTTAAAAGAATGAAAACTTCTATTTATATACTTTCAAAATGAACTCATAAATAAGTCAGATCAAACCCAAACTCCCTTTACCTGATCCAAAAAGATAATGCTTGCATTCTCATCTTAAATATTCGATTATTAAAAGTCAATTTAGACAAATACCCTCACTATTGAGAGAAATAATGTGAAAAATATTTCTGTCCCAGGTACTAAAGTTGTATCAAGCAGTTGACTGGTAGAAATGTCAGGTACAACAGTTTCCAAGCTGAAAGTAAGCATAGAAGGAAAAAAAAAGAAATAAAGGTGGGCTATGCTTTATTAGGTACTGCCCCCACAACTTAACAAGTAGACCACTTCTGTATCCCACGAAAACCGTGTGTAGAACTCACCTTAAAAACAGTGCCCACTGGCATAAGCAGTCGCTGGGTAACAGAGGGGCACACAGAATAATAGGTTTCTCTTTGCTCTTTTATGTTCCGAAAAACAAGGCCTTTTCATACTTTTTGTTGAGTGTTTACATTTTTTTGAGTGTTTAAATTTCTATCAAAAGTTGATGACAGTGGTGAAAATAACATACATACACACACATTAGATATTAAAACTAGAAAATACTAACCTGTATGACCTATGGGTATTAGAAGATTCCCCAGTGTGAGTACTAGAAGAAAATATATTGGAGAAAACATTTCTGAAGCATTGATTTGTACAGTTTGATCTTCGAGGCTAGAAAAGTAAACAGTGATTATTGAAACAGCAGGTAAACGTCCATAATAGTTAAGAATAGTTTTATCAAAACATCTCACATGCCCGAAGTACTAGGTATATATTAAATAACCACAGTGTTACTAAAAGAAATTTTTCTTTATTTCAACAAACCTTATTTATCTTGATTATTCCATTTTTCTTTTCTCTGGTTTCACTGTAAGAAGAGTTTCCTATAAAAAGGCATAAAATAAAAGTACTTGGTTACTTTGCCTAGTATCAACAATTGCCAATTTTATAGCAATTAACAATAATCACCACTTGACTTGTATGTTAAGGTTTTAAACCAGTACAAACGCTAGCATATTGTAGAGGTTTAAATATGCAGATGTTTCATTTTAATTAAGAGTATATGCAGTTATATAATTTTTCTGAATGCAAATTTTAAAATACCTTGTTAAAACTGCAGCTAAGGGGAAATATATGAGACAATAGAGAAATCTGGTAAAACATACTTATTTAAAAATTCTAGTCAATATTTCCTGCCAACATATACAAACTTAAACCACTTTATAAACAAGAAGTATATACAAAAGTCAAACTATCTAGTCTCAGCAATGGACATAGTATTTTTTTTTTTAGTTTTTAATAAATCATTTTATTGGGGATTCTTACAGCTCCATCCATCCTTAACAATCCACACATAAATTCTATTAAGAGTAAGGGGCGTAGAGAGAAAACCTATGCACTAACCAGAACTACCAAGTGAATAGGAGTTCACACTGGAAGGGAAGAGCTGCAGAGTAGGGGGAAAATTGTTTGGCTTTTGAACATTTTGAGTTAGCAGTTTTCCCACTGGATGCATAATGCAAAAAAGTCTGTGCCCACCGGAGAAAGCTCCCTTTTGGGATGGAATATTAAAGAGAACTGATGAGCTTTGTGTGCTTGTCATGGCAACCCACTTGGTTTCACTGAGAGATGGGATACTCTGGACATGTTCCACTGTTACCTTGTTGACATGGTCCAAGGGCTAAAGAGAAGAAGAAAGAGGAAGGACTGGCTGGTCTGGAGTTTAAAAGTGTGTGACTACTGAGCCTATGGGCCAAGGCCTAGCCCCAGGGGCCAGGTGTTTGGAAGTGTAGGGAGTTATGTGTGGACTCCCACGCTAGTACTTGGTATCAGTTGACATAGCATGCATGGCTAGCTGGATAAAGATATTTGACTCTGTGAAATGGTGCATATAGTGAAGTTTTGATGGATGGTGTACTACACAGTGAACTTTGCTTACGCATGCTGATGGCCAAAGGTCCAACCAGAAATGAGGACTCATAATATCAAGCTTGTCTCCTTAGTACTGGGTGGTTAAGGGAAGACAATTTAGAAACAGAGTATCTGAAATGAAGGATGATAAAGGCACAATGTGACTGGCTTATAAGGGTTCGTGCGCGCGCGCACTGGGGTGGGGGGAGAGAGCTTGGAAGGGGGGAGTTAATCCTTCAGTATTGAAGGGACAATGGCTAGAAGAGCCTGGGAGTGACCTTCAGAGGCAGTGAATTACTTAGTAATATGGCTCTTCCACTCAATCTCTCTAACTCCCACCAGAAGACCTTTTCCTGCATGGTTTTGGGAAGAAAGTGGAGGAAGATACTGATAGGATTCACCTGTAAGTGACTGTGAACAGGATTCTGTGCAGTGCCATTCTGCTGCAGTGGAGGTGGGAGGTGGGAGGTGAAGGTGGGAGGTGGAGGTGGAGGAGGAGGAACCTAATTACCAGCCAAGAGCCAAAAGTAGAGCAAATCTTCTGGACCTGAGAGATTCCTATGCAGTGAACCTCCCGGATGCAGAAAACAACTATAACATTAATGAGCAGCAGCAGACCCAGGAGTCAGAGCATGGAAGAGAATGTTGTACTTCCCAACCCACAGAGCTGGTAAAGCTGAGAGGGCTTTTGTGAAGGGCTAGGCTGGCTTGCAGAGTGGGATGCTTCTGGGCATTTAACTAGGGAAGTGGAGTTCAGTTACCGTGGGCTGCAGTTTACTCGAGGGGGGTGTGCCTCTGGGTATGTAATTCAGGGAACTTGGTTTACTGAGCACAGAACGGGGGGATGACTTTGGGTTAAGGCTTAGAGCAGGGTCTAATGTCTCTTTTCTTAGTAGACCTGAAAGAATTTTTAACAAAACCTGATAAAGGAATAAAGGGCTATCCAATGACATTACAACTTGGTAAGTTCTTTAATAAGCTCCTTAATTATGAATTTTTGTCGGAGTTCTGTACAGCCATTGCAGTGGATATTAGAACCCAAAGAGGTAAATAGAGAACATTAATTAAGACAATGCAAAGCCAACTTTCTCCTTAATAGTAGACTGATTTCCTGCTAAATTCCTACACGATCGCTGTTTGGTTAAGACTATTACCACTCTTCACATACATGCCACCCAAATTGTGTAACAAATTTAATTTCTTGTATGTGTGTATGGGGGAGGCTGACTGAGTTCAAGTACTTTAGTATCTCATACCCTTAGGAGTACATCTATTAAAAATGAGTGCTAGGTATCTAATCATGTTCTTTCTTAGAAACCATCATTTTCATTGATTCTGATTTCATTCACTCAATAGTTAATAAGTATGCACTGCTTACATAGCAATCTTTCGCTTGGTAGTCTACCTTAAAAAACCAGCATTACACAGAATAGCTTCCACAGGAAGAACTATTCATTCTGTTATATCTGATCCAAAACCTTTCCCACATTTTTCTGGGTAATTACAGAATACCTCTTATGTCCATGTCAAATGTTTTCAATATTGATGAATTGGTCTAAATTGGTTTCCTGGAGACTCTCCATCTCCCCCCCTTTGCCCCTACTTCCCCTCAGATTTACTCTAACCTTCCTTTGGACAGCATCAGTATGTCTTTTGTTTAAGTCTACCAAAGCAATGCATGCACATGCTTTAAGAAGCAGAACAGCACATTTCTAAGCTGATAAAAGAAAAGCTATGGTGAATAGATCAGAACACAAAGAGAATGAGACACTGTGGAAAAATGAACAATCTGTATAGAAACTGCCTAAAGGGGACCAAGTTACTGTATAAACATTCACCAAAAAGCAAAGAATGCACAATATTTTTTTAAAAAGAAGAAAGATAATCTATAGTGGTCATACCTAGAATTCCCACCCCTGATTTTTGTTCCCAAAGGTGCTCATTAAATCCTTTAGTTGTTTCTTCTGCGATTTCACTTATAAATGACTTCCTTATACTACTAATATCTTGATTTTGTTGTTCCTGTTTCAGTTATTTTCTTCTTTAATTACGGAAACTTTAACTCTTGTTCCACTGCCCTCGATACACACAAACCCTCTTGGTTGCTGTCGTCCTAATGTTGATAGGTTGCTTTTGGATGCGTCAATATTTGATACAGCAATGTTATACATTTTAAATAAACATTAGTAAAAGCTAAATCAGGTAGAGAACTAGAATTACCTTTCTTGTTATTATGGTTCATTACCTGGCATTTTCTCTTCATATATATCTACCATTAATTTAGCTAACTCTACACCAAAAGTCTAAATCTCCTCTAATACATTTATACTGATTAACTCATCCATTAAGCTTGCTCTCTACTTGCTTGGAAAGACTTTATCTTACTCCAATCTGACTTAGTAACACTCTAAAAGTTATTCTATGACTGCTCTTTGCCACCACCATAATAATTTATCTTTTCTCTAGATGGAACTCATATTCTGAATCTCACAGACTTCCTTTCTCATTTTAGTGAAATATAAAGTATCCTCCAACAGAATCTGAGAAAGGATAAGTAGAAATTAATTTCTGAGTCTTTAGGTCTTTGAAAATGTTTTTATTCTGCCCATTTGACTGATAGTTTGGAAGAGTACAGAACTGTCTATATTGGAAATTATTTACTCTGGAATATTCAGGAGACTGCTCTATGGATGTCTACATTTTATTGTTAGAGATCTGATGTCATTTGACTGTTTCAGTGTGATGGATTTGTACTGTTAGGTCACTCGTCTCCGTTTTGATCTCTATCATGTTGAGGTGATGCACAGCTGTTTGTGGGACACAAAAATACTGACTGGAAATGACATAAAGGATGGTCAGATATTTTCAATTACTGAATTCCATTGTAGGTTATCATGCAAAGAGACTTGGCTATTTCATTGTTAAGACTCCCAAATGTAACCATCTCTAATCTAAGTCTTTTCTTTTGAGCAAGATTGCAACCCACAAAAGAGATTTCCTATTTTCTACTCAGGGGAATATAAGCAAGACAGCCAAAGATTTCAGAAATAATCATTGCTAGAGGTTTCACCATGTACCTGGATTTCCCTCTTAATCATCTGTGCCAGAGGAATTTTATCTGTTCCATCTACTGACTCTAGAGCAGTGGTTCTCAACCTTCCTAATGCCACCACCCTTTCATACAGTTCCTCATGTGGTGGTGACCCTCCAACCATAACATTATTTTTGTTGCTACGTCATAACTAATTTTGCTACTGTTAGGAATCGGGCAACCCCTGTAAAAGGGTTGTTTGACCCCCAAGTTGAGAACCACCAAACTAGAGGAACGATGTGATTCATCAGTGCTCTACCACACCTGCTTTAATCAGCCCTTCCTTATAACCTTCTGCGGGTGGATATCCAGTTGTCTACAGAGGGCTTTGGGTCTCCACTCCAAATCCCCTCATTCATCTATATAGTTGTTTGTTTGTTTTAAATCTTTTGATACCCGATGCCTGATTCTGTCGACACCTCATGATCACACAAGCTGCTTATTTGCTTCCCTGCTAGATGGCTGCTTGTTTGACTTCAAGCTCAAGCTTCTAATATTCTATAAATATCTCTTATTAGCTGTCTTCTCTTTCTAGTTCTCTTTGTCTGTGTGGCATTAAATCTTTCCTATTTGTATTGCCATTTTATCCACCCCCCCTTTTAAAAAAAGATCATTTTATTGGGGGCTTTTACAATCCACACCTCAATTATATTAAGCATATTTGTATAGATGTTGTCATCATTGTTTTCTAAACATTTACTTTCTATTTGAGCCCTTGGTATCAGCTCCTCTGTTTTCCCCTCCTCCCCCACCCTATATTGCCATTTTAGTAGGGTCTAGAAAGGATGAGAAAAAGTTTAAAGTATTTTATTTGCTATGATTAAACTGTAAGCTTGTCTTATTTTAATTTGGCACATCCCAGAATATGTTTCATGATTGTTT